TTATTTTTTTGTCTTAATTTATTTTATCCTTATAATATAACAAGCAATTCATTTTATATATTACGTCAGATACACGCCCATTTTTTTATAGTCGAGAAAACTAGAACTAAAGTTATTTGGTTCGAGTCCTTTAGTTTACGCTTAAATATTGTTTTTAAAACTATCGCCAAACCTGTAATTATATGATTTAAGTTAAAAAGTTAATTTGTAATTTTTTCTCATGACATTCTGTAAAGGTAAAACCCAATCTTAACCGGTGTTCCAATAAGATTTTTTTTAAATATATAATTTATAATCAAGCATATAAAACATTAATTCCCACTCCATACTTATCACTAATTATTATGCATTTCGTCACAAACACACCCATTTTTTTCAATCCGGTTTTGTCAACTAAATAAATATAAAGTATTCAAATTAAATGCCAAGCCTTTAAAAGTCGATTGTAGATAACGATTCAAAATAACAAATGTTACATCACACTGATATAATGAAATAGTCGAATAGATAGCGTCATAACACTTTTACAGTTTCGTAAAACATTTAGCGGTGCTCAGTTCAACGGCGTCAGCTGAGCGCGCGCGCCGCCATCTTTGTTGCACAGAATAAAAATTACAAAATAAAAATGACACAACAAGGACCGGCTTTCGACGTGAATGCTATGACTTTGACCAGATGGGTCTTGGCACAGCAAAGAACAGCTCCTGAAGCCACCGGCGATTTGACTTATCTTCTGAATTCAATACAAACGGCAGTGAAGGCCATACAGTCCGCTGTGAGGAAAGCTGGAATTGCCAAACTGTGAGTACATTAAAATTTGTATTGTTTAGAAGTAGCTATAAAGTTTAATAAAAGTGTATATTAGTATTTAGGTGATAAAAAATATTTGTTTTTAATTATAATGACTATAATTATCATTATAAAATGACTTGCAAATACAAATATTCCCTTTTCCTACTGTAGTGTACTTTCCTATGTTTGTTAATCGGGATGCGCAATTTTTTTAGGATTAATGTCGTACTCGTCTTTTCATAGCCACTAATGCATTGTTTAGTATCTAAGCGTAGGATTAGTTTTGAAATCTACATTAACATCTGGTTAAGTATCCAGTAAACGATTCCGAACGCTTTTTTATTTAAGTGATTTTTTTTATTTAGGCATGGAATCTCAGGCGACACTAATGTCCAAGGCGAGCAAGTGAAGAAACTTGATGTATTATCAAATGACCTGTTTATCAATGTTCTTAAATCATCGTTCACAACATGTCTACTGGTATCAGAAGAAAACTCTTCAGTTATACAGGTCAGTATAGTAAAAAAACTTACTAATATTATAAATGCGAATGTTTATATGGATGGATATTTGCTTGAAGGTATCTCCAGAATTTAGCACACGTATAAAAATGGTCTGGAAAATACATCGGCTACTATTTATGTTTTTTTTTTAAATTTCGAACGGAGTCGAGGGCTATAGCTAGTAATTTATAACTTCTATCAGGTATTGCTGTCACTCACACATATAAAACATTGTTATCTTCTTTTCTTTCAAAGAGAATGAGTAGGATAGCATTACTAAATAACATACGTGTTACAATAGTGGAAAATGACCTTAACTCCTCACCTAACGTTAACAAGACTACGTTATCAAACATTTTTATATGAAAACAATATTGTTTACCAATCGATTGTCTATAAAATAAATGTCCCTTTCAAATAACATATAGTCGATAACATTGAATGGAACATCGTCTGTGAACCCCGACCCGGACATTTTGCTTATCTTGTCTTTATTTGTGTAACTTCTTTGTTATACAAAAACATCTGTTTTCTTAAATAAAATGAAAGGAACGATATGTTTTTATACATGTATTTCGGCGATGGAAACTTACGGCTTTAACTTAGAAATAAAAAAAAATGATCCTATAAGGGTTCCATTTTTTTCCCTTCCGAGGTACGGAACCCTAAAAAGATGCGTGATTAATGAAATTTTGATTCTATTGTGCAAGTTATAATAATAATAGTATAATATAATATATGTTATCTGTGGTAATTAGACCGATTGTAAATTAACGAACACCACAATCTGACGGTGACACGTTTGTATTGTGCAGGTGGAAAGCGAGAAACGCGGCAAATACGTGGTGTGCTTCGACCCTCTTGACGGTTCTTCCAACATAGATTGCCTTGTCTCTGTCGGATCCATCTTCTGTATTTATAAGTAAGTATTTCTCATAATAAAAGGAATAACTAATCTCGCTCAAAATAGTTGTCAACTAAAAAAATACTATTTCTACATATTTATAACACAGCTAGTGTTATAATTTTTTTTTGCTTTGTTCCGCGATATTAAAAAAAACTAGTAATAAATATAGCCTATATATTTTTGTAAATAGAAAAAGTAGATAAGCGAGAAACCTCTAGATGAAAGTCTTTGGCCGGTACTGACGACCTTCATAAGCGAGAAACTCGAGTTACAGAGATACCACTAAAAGCGAGAAAACATCTCATTTCTTTTATATTCTGTAATATTAGTGTAGATATTTTACACTAAGTGACACCTTTAGTTATTTAACTACTGAATAAATATTATTTCAGAAAGACATCCCCAGGCGAGCCTACAGAGTCAGACGCACTCCGTCCTGGGCGCGAGCTGGTGGCGGCTGGGTACGCGCTGTACGGTTCTGCCACCATGATGGTGCTCTCCCTGGGCCGGGGGAAGGGAGTCAATGGCTTCATGTACGACCCCTCCATTGGGGAGTTCATACTTACAGACCCTAACATGAGAATACCCGAAAAGGGGAATATATATTCTATTAATGAAGGTGATGATTGATTTGTTTTTTTTTTTTAATATTGTTTTTGGTTTCCTAATATCATTTACTCTTTTATTTACAAAATGGTTATATAAATTATATAATTTTTTATAGAATCGTATTATTTTAATTACTAACTTCAGCAATCAAATTCTAACCGTGGAATTCTGACATCGAAATATCTGTAAAAAACATATCGTTAACGACGTCTTTCATCTTTGACAAATCAGAGATAAGAATATGTTTTGAACGGAGATTTTGGTCTCGGAAACCTACGGTAAGTTGTCTAAAATAAGTATACATTAGTCGTTTAAAATAATGTAAATGTTGTAGGTTACGCAGCGGAATGGGAGGAAGGTCTGAAGAGTTACATAGAGTCGAAGAAGCGTCCGGCGAGCGGCAAAGCGTACGGCGCGAGATATGTCGGCTCCATGGTGGCTGACGTGCACCGCACCATCAAGTATGGCGGCATCTTCATCTACCCCGCCACCAAGTCCGCGCCCAATGGAAAAGTAACTATTCTAAATCTATTCTTTACTAACTGTCGCCTGCAACTCCGCCTGTGACAAATTTCATCGAGATCCGTTCAGTCGTTCTGCTGATACCTTTTAATAAACATCCATCCATTTATGCATCCAAACATTCGCATGAATAATTTTAGTTATTGACTATTTCTTAATCCATTTCAAATAGTAGTCAAATGCCGGGATTCGAACCCATGACTAGGTGAATATGTTTTCTGTACCTCTTATCCATTAGACTATAGGTTAAGAACCTATAGTCTAATAAAGTCGAACCTGATTAAGCGAGATTTCAAGAGAATGGCATATTTTTCTCATACATAGGTTTCTAGCACGATTTTCTCGCTTATGGAGGTATTCGGGACTAATTAAATCTCGCTTATAGAGGTTTCTCGCTTATCTTCAATCTAAGCGGTTAAATTAACTAAAATAAATATCATGTTTCCTTATAAATAAGAAAGCAATTGGTTTTCAGCTGCGTCTCCTATACGAGTGCAATCCAATGTCGTTCATAGTGACGGAGGCTGGAGGTTTGGCTACAAACGGCCACATCCCCATACTGGAGCTGCAGCCCACAGCCATACACCAGCGCGCACCATGCTACCTCGGCTCTAAACATGATGTACAAGAACTTATGAACCATTTGAAGGCTTAAAATTTACATATAAATATCCATTGTTCGAGGCAATCGTATAATTGTCATTATTACCAGAGACTAGTTTATATGTCTACAAATATTATAGGTGAATTTCTTTGGTGATATATTTTCCTAATAAAGTCTGATATTTTAACAATATTTGATGTTAACATGAAAACACTCTCCTGAGATGAAAAAAGTATTTGAACGGGTTCACCCAGTGAAATACCACAACTGAAGAGACAGGCGTCAAGTTGAAGTAGTTCCATGTATCACTCCGGCTAACTTGTCTTGTTTTCCTTTCTTTTCTTATAAGAAAGAAGAGAAATGAATTTGGTTGAGGAGAGGACATATTGAAAGGGATTGTCCTCTCTGTCCGCCCTCTATACAATTGCAGATCTCTATGGACTATCTTCGATCTGTCAATTCCATTCTGTACTAAAAAAAAACGCAACTTTGTAACAGTCATTATTTAATTTTTATTGTTTATTCGTAACATTTTCTGTGGGTTTATATCTTTAAAATCATCAAACATTATTTTGTTTACTCAAATCCTAAATCTTACCTTATTCTAGTAATGCAAATCTATTATCCTGATATCGACCTTCTTAATATTAGCAAAACCAAAATATTTAAATCTAGAAAAAAATAATATAAATTATAATATTAAAATCAAAGAGACTTATTAAAAAAACTAATATTTTTCATGTTCAAATTCGAAATGCTATACCAAAATGTTACATTTGCAAGAAATAATTTTAAAATTAAGGTAATTTCAAGATAATATTACATTTAAAGTTACTTCAAGTAATTTTGATACACTTCAAGAGTAACAACTAAAAGCATATTTATATCTATTTTCTTTGCATCTACAACTATCAAAGATTCACAATGAAAAAATATAATATGATAGTTTAATTTGGAAATACTAGACAAAATAATTATACTACGGAAACTTCGGACATTAAAAAATAACAGACGAATTGACAACCTCCTTTTTTGAAGTCGGCTAAAAATAGACAAAAGTCACACTCAATCCTAGCAAAAAGTAGCTATTGACTATGAAGAGACGATTTGAGGGATGCGGCAGACGACATACAGCAGCAACTGCCTATGTACATGTGCCGTAACTGCAGACAGCATTTATCTTAGACATGTGATGCCTACTAGGCATAGACACTTAAAAACGTCGCCATGACATATTTACAGTATAAATTTGTATAACTAATTCTACTAATATTATAAATGCGAATGTTTACATGGATGGTTGTTATAAGGTATCTACAGAACAGCTGCATGGATCACGTTTAAATCTGACATATAGAACATAGTCTGGAAGAACACACAGGCTACTAATTAAGTTTCTATAAATTCCGCGCGGACGAAGTCACGGGCGACAGCTAGTACTGACATATAACTGCAACATTTGATAATTTCTTGCTGTTGCCGTTTGCCGTATCCCACAAAATCGCACAAATAATGCCTGTATTCACTTTAATAATAAGCACATTCACAATAATGTCAGTTTGTTTTCACAGTCACTTCACACACAATCTTCGTACCCCACGTACGGCTTGATGTCTGGCTGAGGGTCAGGGGTGGCGTGTGGGGTGGGGGGCGAGCGCTAGGCGGTCAGCGCCACGAACTGGTGGAACACATCCAGGATGTGAGGGTCCAGGTCCTGTGTGAACAGCAGCGTCTCCAGCGTGCTGCTGTATTTCTGCACCTGCTCGTGATGCTGTAACACAATTGGCACACTCTTATTATGTATCACAATACATATTAAATCCTACTAATATTATAAATGCGAATATTTGTAAAGACGTTTGTTAGAAGGTATTTAGCGGTACAAGGTCACTTGCCCCTACATATATCATTGTGTTTTGCGACTCGTGGTTTGTTCAAAGTCGTCGAGATATTTGAATAATGCAGTATAGTAGTGGAGCGAGTACTAACCACGAGGAAGACATGCCTGAGCCTGGCGACAGTGCTGCGGTACCAGTGCGTGTTGGGATCCCTCGCGTCAGTGTCGCACCGCACCAGGTGCTCCGACAGGATCATGATAAAGCGCTGAAACACGATCAGGAACAGCCGCTTCTGATCCGTGTGAGCCAACTCTAATCGCTCCTCCATACGCTCCACAGCCTGACAGACAGATATAGAAACATAGAATTTTGTATATGGAAATATTTATTAAAGTTAGTGTGGGTTTCATTCTCTTAAAAAAAAGACCAATGTTAAGGAGATTTCACCGTAATAAATTTAAAGATTGAATATAATTTGGGTGAATCTCTAATGCGTTTTAAATAAACTAATCGGCCTATATAGTCTATGAATGCTTTTTAAAACTAAAAAATTGTCATGTATTAAAGAAACTCTAATTATCGAGTGTTTCAAACTTTTTGGTTTGATGACAATTTCCTCCCCTGCATCTATTTTTTTTCAACGCAGCCTCTTATGAAATTGTGAGCCGTGAAGATATTTGTATAATACCTCTTCGGTAGGTTTGTCATGATCTTTCTTCTTCTTGGTACCGCTTTCATCTTCTGAGTCGGAGCTGCTAGAGTCAGCACGCGCCAGAGCCTCCCGCGCCTCCTGCAGCTCTCCACCTATAATAATACATTTTTATTAACACTTTCAATGCTACTGACTCGCATTTCGAGTTTATTTTAATGGAAATATTCGTAGCAACATATAACGTGTTAATATTGCAATAGGTAGCGAACACAAAAAATCAATTAATTATCATAATAACATTACAAACTTCGTTCATATCCAAAATTTTATCGCAAAAATACCAGCGCCATCTATTTTTAAAAGTGTTAAACAAATATATTAGTTTATTTTATTTCCAAAAAATACCAATAGATGTCACTATTTACACTCTACAGAAATAAACATCATAAAATAAGTAGTGGAAACAAGGATACCTAAACCTTAGGCTATCGCGGTTGGTTCTACCAGAATACATATAAAATGAATTTAGATGTAGGGAATGACAAAAGCAAAAAATAAACACGAAAGATGCAGTACAAAGAGGATCTTGTGATATTTTTTGACGTTGCAAGAGGGGCGCTAGTGTGCTGTCATAATTAAGTTTATGGCCACCGATTCAGTAGCCTTGTTGGTCTATGATATTTTACTTACTAAGTTTAGAGACGTGTTTATTCATCTTATCTATAGTGAGATGCAATATCTCCCAGAGATAGTTGTGTGTGAAGTGCGGCGCCATGTCCTTGGAGAAGAGCCAGGTGGCGACGGCGCTGCACTCCACCACCTGCGTCTTCAGCATCTTGTCGACCAGCACGCACACCATCTGCGGCTGTCGCTGCCACAGCTCCCACACGTTCTTCAGTACACAGATCTGCGCCTCTTCTGACTCCGCTAATATCTATGCAAGTTAAACAATACTAGTATATATTTGAAATCTAAATATTAATACAAAGTAATTTGTCTATTTTAAAAAAGACACTGTTCTTAATATATATTCCTTTTTTAGTTACTTTAAAATGATGAACTAAGTTCTGCCCCTGTCATACCTAAATATATTTTATAGAAAAATTTAAAGGTTAATCATACATTGTAAAAGTAATTCTGTAAAAAAATTAATGATGAGCAAGAAATTATCTTAAACACCCTAGTAGAGGATTTCAGTGTCCCAATCAGTTTGAACTACATTCAAAATCACTTATAAAGGGTGTTTTCCGTCGGGACTAATGACAATCCCCGTTGGAAAATTCCCATTGAGTCAATAGAGTCCATAGAAAACAAAAACCGCATTGGTCCAATTAATTCTATGAAAAGAATCATCCCGTCGTAACAACTGATTTTCTATACAACCAATATTGTTCTAATAGCTAGGATTTAAAGCTGTTTCTATATGTTTGTTCATTTCATCACTCACCTTGAAGACATAATGAAACTTAGATATAGCGGCGAAGCTGTGGGAGATGCTCTTGCTGCCGAGGTTGAGCAACGTCTGCACGAACACGTCTATCTTGAGAGGGTTGTAGTGCGGGTGGGGGGCGGCATCTCCGTCACGCAGCGGGTTGGGCAACTCGCGCAACACGTTGAGAGCCTCCTCCGGCGTGCACTTGTTACGTACGCAGACAACCAGCCGGTGAGCCGCCTCCGTGCCGGGGAGGGATGCTGGGAATACACATTTAGAGATAATCTTACGAATATTATAAATGCGAATATTTAGATGGATGGTTTGTTTAAAGGTATCTCCGGAATGGCTTAAAGGATCACTATGAAATTTGGCATGGATATAGAACATAGTCTGGAAGAACACATAAGCTATTTATTACGTTTTTTTTATAATTCCTCGCTGACAGAGTCTAGTACATTAAAATTCTAGTAAATTTACTTTTCTAAACGTCATTAGCACCCTATTAAGTCCTTACTATCTTCTACATCATATGCCAAATACTCCTAAATAGCTAAATTTAACACCTTTTAAATTGTACTATAAAACTTACGTCCATCCATATTGTGTTGTACAATTATTATTTCACAATTTTTACAAAATCAAATATGTATATAATATTGATAACCGCTTTGAATAAGTGATGTTTATTATTACAATATTTAGCCGAAATTGGTCATAAGAAAACACGATAAAAATATAGCAACCAAATCGTTTGAATTAATAATGGAAATCTTATTGAGAAATAGTAACCCATAGCTTGATGGATTTGAAACAGTGAATATTTTACTTAAATTTTCTTTATTTATTATCATAAAATCGGACAGTACACCGCAGAGATGTTCTCGCGATATCGACCAATGAACAATACAGGGTGTTGCGTAAAGCTAAGTTCATATCATTATGGTTTTCGTGCGTGGGACAAAGTACGATTCATTAGAGTTATAAAGGCAATTAAAGTTTAAATGATCTTGCGCAAGTTTACGAGTAGAGTACATTTAACACCTTCACTGCTAGCATTAAACGTATCAAACTAGTAGAGAAATATGGTGGCACTGAAAGTGTTAACATAATTAATTAAATATTTAAAATTCTAATAATTAAATTTGATAAGTGTAGTTTTATTACATTGATTATGGAGGTTAGATCAACCGTGACTTTCTGATGATGCCTATAAAACATACAGCTATTTATTTACAGAGAAAATGTAAGAGACGACAATATAGAAGTA